GGGGGGGCTGCCGGGGAGCCGAGTCGTGGAGGCAGGCTGGTGGTGAGACTTGCACGGGTGCTGCCACCCGGCTCCCCCAAGCACTGAGGCAGAGGGGCTGAAACGCACACAGGTAGTGTGTCCCCCCATGCTGACCTCCTCTGAGGTAGACCCGTGTCTGGCTTTAGCACCCAGTGCTCCCTTGCGCAGCCAAAACCACGGTGGCAAGGCAATCTTGCCAAGGGAGCCCAAGCGGCCGGTCTCCTCCCGCCCCACACACCCCCTGGACCCACAAAACCCTGCTAGGCCTCTCCCTGCTCCTGCCCAACTGTGCATGCAAAAACCCGAGGCGAGGGGAGGCCCCGCGCTGTACAAATGGCGGGGACAGCCCTGCCCCTCCCTAGGAGGGCCCACCCCCACTTTCAGAAGTAGACCACCAGGTGCCAGGGCAGGTGTACAGGCAAAAGTGGGCAGCTCTCCCTGCAGCAGGCCAGCTCCTCAGATGCGGCATGAAGCCAGCAGGAGCTGAGGCGATTTCACCCTGTAGACGCTCAGCTTTCAGGTGGCACTGAAAGATTGTGGAGTATAAAGGCAGAAGGGAGCAGCCCCTCATTCCCTTTACGCCTCCCATCCCCTGCGGCTCCCTGTGCGCCAGACCAGGCACCCCGGGGTGTGGGACTGCCCTGGGTGGCACGGCAGGGATCCCACCGCGGTAACCTCCGTTGCCCTCGGAAATCCGAGAGGGGCCGAGGTGTCCCTCTGAGGGGACAAGATGGACGGCGCATCCTCCCTGCTCTGCCCGGTGCCAGCGAGGAGCCCATGAGCAGGGCCGGGGCTTCACCAGGTCGGGCCAGGGTAGGAGCTGGCGGTGGCCATGGCTCCTCTGAGCATGGCTGCGGCTAGTACTCCTTGGCCTCCTGCAGCTGGGAGAGGTACTCCTCCTCGGTGGGATTGTCAGCACACCGTCGCCCGTTGTTGGGGGGCCGGACGGCATGGTAGCGGCTCCAGTCGCCCTTGCAGAGGATCCAGGGCAGCTTGTCCACCTTGTAGTGCAGCTCTGGGGAGAACTCGGTGCTGATGAGGTTGGGGACGCCAGCCCCCTTGCCGCGGGTGATGAGGCGGGTGTGCTCGTCGTAGCAGCAGTGCTGGGCAGCCAGGGTGGTGCTGTCAAGGGAGAGCATGGAGCGCAGGCAGAAGCGTGCGGTCGGCTTGTAGATGTCCAGGCGCTCCTTGGGGCCGCTAGCGTCCCGCCATCGGAAGCTCTTGCCCTGCTGCTCATCCCGCAGGTTGATGGCACTGTAGACAGCCTCCAGCGGGTAGGAGCAGGGGCAGCTGGGCAGGTCCGTCAGCACCTTGCTCAGGTACTTGGTGAGGAAGTCGCTCTTGCAGTTCAGCCATTTCTCACAGCTGTCCACCTCTGGGGAGGAGGGCACCAAAAGGGTGAGGGCACGCGCAGCCCGCACCCCGCTTTACCCAGCTGCCATTTGCCCGTGGCCTCGCCAGCACCACCCACAGAGCCTGCAACCATCAGGCTGGAGCAGGCAGGCTGCTGGGATGAGCTGGAGCCAGGCTCCATCCCCGAAGCAGTGACAGAGGGAAGGGGTTTCGTGCTGGGGCAGAGCTGCCCCTGGCAGGGGTTCTGCCCGAGGCAGCCATCGCTACAGGGGCCGGGCTGGCAGCATGGCCCATGGGAGAGGGCACGCTGCAGGCTGGGCTCAACCGCTGCACGTAAAGCAGGACCATGTTGTAGCAGGGCTGTGGGAGGAACTGGGTTTCCCAGCATGACTGCTGAAGCCTGTGCATGGCAATGGTTTGGGTGACTTAGGTCTGGGCAGCAGACGCAGGAGCCCTCGGCAGAACCCTCCCCACCAGCCAGCTACACCCCCATGGGGTCTGGCACTGAAGCCCTCAGTGCAAGGCAGAGGCAGAGTCTGACCTGAGTTGAACAGCTCTGTGGTGTTGTCGCTTTTGAAAGGCATCTCCTCTGTGGGGAAGACCATTTCCCCCTCTGCTCCTTGAGAAGGGAAAAAAACCAAAACCAAAGAGCCAGGTTGAACACCAGGAGGAGTGGTGGGTTTTTTTCCTCTGTAAGAGCACCAGACACCATCCATCTTCCACCCCCTCTCCCACCACTGCTTTGGTGACATGGACCCGTGCCTGGAAGGAAGGGCCAGCAGCAAGACACGCAGGACAAGGCAAGGCAAGGTTACGCAAAACCCCCAAAACAGCCAGCTCTCAGTATGCCTGTGCAAAGAGTCACACACCGAGCTGGACGCCAGCTCTACCCCCCTTGGGCACCACGTAACTGCCTGGGGAGCCATGAAGCCCCATCAGAGCCTCTTTGGGGAAACAAACCTCTGCAGTTATTAGCCCAGATGACATTAAACATAGCTAGTTCTTGAAGCATGAGCAATTCCCAGCCCGCAGCAGTGGGGGACCAGCCCACATTGGGGTCGGACAGTGCCCAGGCACTGGTATGGCCGAGGGCTCACCAGGGCAGCGTGGCAGGTCGCAGGTCCTCGACTCTGTTGCTGTGCAGGCGTAGCCACAGGACCGGGTCCTCTTCTGGTTCCCACTGCCACAGGTGATGCTGCAAGGGGACCACGGGCTCCACTCTTCCTCATCTTCATAGTCTGTGTACAGAAGGAGAGAGGCAGAGAGTGGTGGACCTCAGCCAAGCCTCAGCAGGAGGGAAGCCAGCAGCCACCCAGGACCTCCCTCAGCTCTGCCCTGTCCCTGGGATGTCCTCTTTACAGGGACGCAGGGCCAGCACTGCCCGGGGCACACAGAGATGCCCAGCCACATGATGCCAAGGGCCAACCCTGTCTTTGCTGGCAATCCCAGGGAAGCAGACCCTGAGCAAAGGCTCTCATTCTCACAGCTTTGCTCATGGTCGTACCAACCCAGACAGGCATCGCTGCCCACCCCCATCCTCACTGAACCTGCCCGATGCACTGGTTAGCAAAGGTTGACTGGTTTTGGGCTTGTGGTTGGGAAACTGCAGGAGGGAGCTGCCGTGGTGCCCTGGCCTGTCCGCCCACTGGCACCTCCCATCTGCCCCTCTGCAGCTCCTCTCCTGGGGGGTGCCCAGGTCTGCGGCAAAGGCTTCTGGCACTGGTGTCACCACAGGGACCTGAGTCAATGGCAGCAGCACTTGCCACTAAACATTTACACCGTATTTCTCATCTGAGCATGCCTTCGCTAGAATCCACACTCCAGTCTGATTACATGCAAAGGCAATTCCCGCTGGTATGCTGGCGTATCTGACTGCTGGCAGTCCTGGCTGGGTGCTGGCCTTGCTCCTTGGCATGCTTGCTTATTTTTTAAGAAGGAGCTGAGCACCAGCATGCTGTGATCCCCAGTGCAGGGCTGCTCCCCCTGCAGTGACAGGGCTGCGGGTCAGGCAGGGCAGGGCAGGGCAGTGCCAGTCCGCAGGGCAGCTGTGCATGCCCAAGAGGACTCACCGTAATTATATTTTTCTTTAAAGATCCAGTTCTTCTGCCCGGGCCACCGCTGATCCCAGTCACCTCCCACTCCACTGAGCATGGACTCCTCCTCCTCGTACTCTGCTGTGTAATCTTCTTCCTCCTCCTCCTCCTCCTCTTCCTCCTCCCCTTCCTCCTCCCTGTCCCCTACATCCAGGTTGTCATCCTCTTCCTCTTCCTCCTCCTCCTCCTCAGCGGGGTCAGTGTATTCCCAGAAGAGGGGCCAGAAAAGGTCCTTGTGGGACAACCACTCAGAGGACGTCAGGGACCAGTCATTGCTTGTCTCCTTCAACAAGTCCATCTCCATCTCAGCCTGAGGATCATCCACCACTTCAATGGTCACCTGGAGGCCAGATATGAGGCAGGGCAGAGAGCCGGGGCACAGCCCTGGGACAGACCTACCAGCCCATGCACTGGTTCCCATCCCGAGAGGCCAGAGATGCTTTGGGCTACAGGACCACATGATGAGCAGAAGAGATCTCACCTCACCCAGAGAGACTGAGCAGGGGTAGAGTGAGAGGTGCAGTGGGGCTGGTGGTCACCCACAGGGACCAACACCACCCTCAGAAACTGAGAGGTCATCTCTGTAGGAGCATTTGCTCCTGCTCTTTGGAGAGGGGCTAGGGGGGCACTGGGAAAAGGCCATGAGTAAATTCCTCTGGCAAGGAGCTTGTCTATGTCAGCTATGTGCATCTGGTAGTTACCAAGAAGACAGACAGCAGTGGCCACACAGACTCTGCTCACGAGATCTTTCCTCTTAGGGAACCAAATGAGGCTGGGAAGCACATGCAGAGCTCGCCCACATCCCCCCATGGCCCACCCAGACCTGCTCCCCACCTGGATGTTGGGGTTCTGGGCAGTCAAGTCCACGTTGGCCAGCCCTGGCAAGCTCTGCAGGTCCAGCATGAAGGGCAGGCTCTCCTCCCGGCCAGTGCCGTCGGGCTGGGGCACTGCCGGGCTCCTGGCAGCCTGCTGAGCCACCCCACGGCGCCTGTGTCGCCGTAGGCCAGCCTGCCCACTCCTCCTCAGCCCCCGCGCCTTGCTTGATGGCGGCAGCCCCTCCTCCCCCGCTGGACCCGGG